GAGGCGTAATCGGACAACAGATGGATAGGACACACATATTCAGAACGAAACCTTTAACCACTGATCATGGTTAAATTTAAAAGAAAAACAATGTTACAGTTAATGAGTGTTTACAAAATAAATCTATGTTAATTAGCTACATATGCTATTTTTTAAAGTTAACATAATCAAAGTAACTGACTAAATTGAACAATACGGATATGTTATCTGGATATTTATTAATAATGATCTTCGAATTATGTTTATTTAAGTTGTGGTGTTTGTTTTAAACATGTCGGCATGTGATTTAACTGGAAATGATTACTTTAAGGTATGCGATCGTCGTTTAACCCATATTCATATGTACTGCATGTGCTTAGCATCTTCTAAGTGTAACATACTTTTACATAGTTGACTATTAAAAATAATCAAAAATTTTGTGTAACTGGGTGTATAAGTAAGTGCTGGAAATGGCGTGAGTGATCTCATCAATTCATATGGAGTGAAAGCCAGAGAATCATGTGTCAGTCTAGGCTATCTTTAGTGTCTTCGTGATGGTAACATAACTGAAAAAGCTTAGGTTTGCAGAGCATTGGTGAGAGCATTTTTGCCACGTGCTCATGAAACTTAGCCTCTCCAAGATGATAGTGTTAAGTGACCATCTCTGTTTGCCCATCGTCGTCGCCGAGGGATCTCTGACATTCAGTAGTAACACCATATGAACAGTGTGTGTACTCGGTGACAGTAAAGAAGAGTCACTAGTTGTCACTATCTTAGAACACTGGCTTAGGTGACTTCGATACGTACTACGAATATCGTCCAAGCGAACTTCATATCGTGCATTATTTGCTGATACGCTGATTGGTTGTAAGAAGCAGACACGTGTTCAGTTTAGGAAAGCTGTCTAGTATTATCACCTGTTGGTCCATTATGTTTACCTCGTTCGTTTTCGTGAGATACCGTGAGCTAGTGTTTGAAGAACGTCATCAGATATCGTTCAGAATAGAAGTCAATAGTTGTTCTTCTGTAATTTTCTATCAGTTTTTGCATATGCGTGAAAGGAAGTATTTGATTGTTTATATATATATATATATATATATATATATATATATATATATATATATATATATATATATATGTTATTGTGTATAATGTTTATCTTCCAGTTGTTAAAATTGTGAAACTAGTTCACTACAGAACAAGTTTTTTCTAGTTTACTAATTAGCCTTATTTCTCTTGTATACAATTCAGCATAGAACGAAATATTTACAACCTTTTCTTACATGAATATACTACAATCGTAGCTTGTCTTCAATAATCTCTCAAGCTTCTTGATTATATACAAATGATACAGAAAGTTCTCTGTCAAGATAGCCAAGTTACAACCAGATGGATGTCTTCAAGTATTAAATCATTTTAAAAATCTTTTCTGTTTAATTCATATTAGTGCAGATACACAACTACACACCGATTTGAAACACTCAACAATTCTATCAGACATTAAGTTTATTACTACTCATTCACTGAATTATCGTCAGTTTGAAATATGTTGCAAACGAAGTGATCTATGCGTGTAGATAACCTCTATAGGAAGATGAGGAAAAGTTTTTTTTTCAACAACCAAAAATCATTTTAATATTTTGAAATTGCATTCATGTTTAAAAGAACACATATACATGGACAATAATTGTTTACAATTAGATAAATGACATCTAAGTTGCTTTCATAGAGTCACTATTTTCATATATATTGTTATTCTATATATTCAAGTAAATACTAATGAGGATGTAACTGAAAATATTATTGTCTGAATACTTAAGTTGTGTTCAATACCAATATAAGACTTTTTGGCATTAAACTAGAATCTGTCAACATTGAATACTGTGCAAAATGTTTAGCATTGATTCAAAAATTCTTATTGAAGGTTTTGTATAATCTCAGTAAAACAATTATTTTTGATTGTAATTCATTGAGAAATGAAGAAATCAGACAAGATTCCTATTTCAATAAATTTAAATTTTAGTGGTGACCGAGTCGAGATTGAGTATGATCATCACTAAAAGTTCCATACTATCCAGTCAGAAATAAATCCATGTTCGAATATTTATTGAAGGAGAAAGTAGGCAGCAAATTATGAAAAATGGTAGCAACGCGCGCAAGAAAGTGTTTTTGGTACTGTTAAACAAAACGAGTACACTGATAAATGTTTAATTTTCTCCAATCGAGTTTTCTTCGTAGAAGTGTTCCACTACAAATGTATCAAAAAAGGCAGAGGCACCTATATCATTGTTTCATATTAATGTATAACACCGCAAAATTCATTATGGAGTATTTAATTCCTGAGATTATCACTTGTTCTGAACTATTTCATCGACAAAAGTCGTTGGTGAATGTTTTTATCGATTGTCTACACATATTAGAATATCTCAAATTTACGTTGAGAACTACACCTCAAAGTATGCCAATAATAAGTCTGATTAATTTGGTTATCATAAAGTTGGTTGGATTTGTGGAAATTTTGTATAATTTGAAGTGTATGAACTTGGAAAATCGTTTGCAATTAATAAACAATTTGTTGAATAATAAAATGCTGAAATATTTCTATCTCTATCCCAGTATGAGTTAACTGTATGATTAATATTAAATGCCATACAGAATATAAAATTTTCACACTCACAAAATGAGACATCCAACCAATCAAATTAATACAATCACTACCACTCTCCGCCATTCCCTTACCCCCCCCTTTTGATACACGGATTGACCAATGATGCGTTGACATCACTGGTGTGATAACCTATATAAACAGAAATTGTAATTATCATCCTCTAAGTATAAATTGTATTTCTTAGTATATTTCAATTGTCTGGCATATGCTTTTTTTCTTTGGATTGTTAATTGCATCTTGATTTGTTGAAGGATTATTAATTTAAAGAAATAGTGTAAGTTATCAAATCTTTTATACTTATCGGTTTCATTATAAACTCCGTCCTACTTTATGGCCTGTGAATCATGGCCAGTCAGAGTAGAATCTATTTGTAGATTACTTGTTTTCAATCATAGGTGTCTCCAAAGCATTGCTCGTACATCCTCGGACAACCGAGTAAGCAATGCTGTTTTTAGGAAATGGGTGCTAGGTAAGGAATGCATGTGAATAGATTAAGTAGTGAAACTTCATCAGTTGAGGTGATTGGGACATGTGTTACGTATGCCTAACCACTGACTGCCTCATAGAGCTATGTTTTGCGATGTAGGAGTAGGTTGGACGAAAGCTAAGGGCGGCCAAACCAAAACATATCAAAAATCCATGAAGTCACTGACAAGTGAACTGAGTCATGTTGATAGGTGTCGTCTACCTGGTTGGGGTCCGCGAGATGATAATAATCGATGGTTAAAAACCTTGAATGAGATGGCGCAGGTGCATCCACTGTTTATGTTTCATGAAATTCTAACCTTCTGAATTCCGCATCCCCTCTCTTGATAAATTCACCTCACTGAATTATATTTCTTGAATAACATCTTCAAACTCTAATCTCCGATTACTTCTAATACTTTCACTACCCCTACTACTATGGGATCTGAATTGTCAACTCTTTCTCTGTGCTAATGTGGTATGGCAACTAACGTGCAAAGTTCTACGTTGCTGTTGATGAATAATGATGACATATTAAAGTGCATGGTTTATATTTTCATAAGTAATTTGTATTAATTTCAAGAGTAGATGTTGAATAGTCTATTGTTGTTCCTTATCTAAAAAGTAAATGAATAATTTTAGCCTACCAATATATGATCAACTCTATTAGGAGTCTAAGACTATGACCACTACAGATGTCTTGTTGACTGAAAAAGTTTCCCCATTGGAAAATAACTAGACAGACCGATCTTAACTATAAATAAACATTAATTCTAAAAAGCCTTCGATTATAAGAGCATTATTACTGGTATTTGAGTCATTATTATCAATGATAATATCATGTTATTATTGTTTTAATTACAGATGACAAGAAAAAAAGGGACTTGTTATTTTCGCTGTCATCTTGAGTAACAGTTCGTTTCTGTGTACTGAGTGATTTGTTTATTGCTTAATGAATACAAATTTATTTTGTGAATTAGTTGAAATCAGTTAGTATTGCCTTATAAATGGATCAGTAATAGTTTTGACAGTAAACTCATGCAGATTCAGCAGAATTCTGAACGAGATCAATTAAAAATTCACGAGATAAATCATAATGATTATTTGTGTATTTATTTACATGACTAATATAAAAAATTTTATAGCCTATGAAATACACTGAACATATTACAGTATTTTAATAATTCTTGGGTAGGGAAATGAATTTTAGTAAGAAATCTTACAGGAGTCTAAAATCAATTTCATATAAGTTTATTAAGCTCACATTGGGTTTTATAGATGAATAGCTAATCACTAGTGAACACTTGTTAAATGTCATTATAGTGCTATGGAGATCATTCATTTTCACTGAAATCAAGAACCGACCAATTTCAGATAACCATTAGAAATAAACCCAGAAGTACTGGACTACTGCCTCGTCTTTGTATGGAACTCAACACTCAAGTAGGGTCTTCGGTCCGAACTGCTGATAAGCTCCATAATAGAATGAAACGGCCGTCCAGTGTCTCCAGGTCTCTAATGGTGGTCTAACAATGGTCGATTCACCATGTCTAAGAAACTCAACAATCTCGAAAACTCTTTAGCTTAAATTTTAAATTTATCGCTCATATGATAGCTATTTGTGAAACTACGTTAGTATCTTAAGTGATTTTAAGTTCTGACGTAAATTAATGACTATAATGGTTTTGTATCATAGACTTTGAACTATAGTTGCTAAATAGATAGAATATGTATTTAAGTTATCCAAATTAATATTTGTTTGGAACAGATCAATCTAAAATACATTGGCATGCAGACAAGTAAATAAAACCTGACGATTAGATTACTGATTTTGGATTCTATTAATATAATTTTATTCTCTACATTTAGATAAAACCTTTTTAACGAAATGACTATTGAAATTAACAAAGATTATACTGATATGCAGAACAATCAAAATACTTATTCGAATTCGTTAAACAAAACACAAATTCTACATCGGTATCCATTACGTCCACGTATGGGGCTAAAACATACAAAGTATAGAAAAATCAACGATTGTAATATTTCCTGTGAAAATAATACAGATGTGATTACCGACAAGATCCAACCCATCAGTATTGATGAGGATCGGCTGATCAATAATTATTGTGCAGAAAGATTGTTGAAACAATATTCCATTTTACAATATGAACGTTTAGCAGTAGAAACACAGAAGAATAAACACCAAGATGAATTTAAACTCAAAAGACAAACTTTACTCAATCGAATGATGCCAACAATGAGACAACCAATAAAAGCTAGACATTCATTGTATCATACAAGGAACAACAAAATATGTGAATCCGAAAAGTAAGTATCGTTAAACTTCGTTTGATATTTCGTTTATTGTAGAGAAATAAAACATAATTAACGCAATAAATGAATTTCTGTTGATATGTGATTAATATTCCATGAATTAACTTCAATGAGACAAGCAACGATTCATACATGGCTGCAATTTCGAATACCTCACTTCTGCCTGAATTTTTTGCTAATGCTATGTGTTATTCAAAAAGAAGCATGAATGAAACTCTAGCATAACTTCAATAAGTCAATGTATTCTACCTCACCTTGTGCATATTGTGCAACGTAAGCACAAAAGAGTAGAATAATAGGGAGCCCTTTTCATTCGAAAGAATAAAATTTGACTGCATTTTAAGGTTTGAAACTTATTCCTAGTTATTTATTATAGATGTTACAGTAGTTTAATGAGTTGTACATTCTCCTCAGTTTATAGTTGTTCAGTAGTTATTTCTGAGTGTTATCTACACATTAAAGTCATAAAACAAATATAATGTTTTTAATAAAAACATTTTATATTAAACAGTATAAAAATAGTGCCGAATCGATTACAAACATTAAATCACTGAATAAAAATGTCCTGTGATACAGTTTGTCATTATATAATCATCATAAATTATATTTCAAAAAATCTTTATTACTATTCTATTGATGAATGCAAAAATAATCTTGAAGTGAAATACTTTAACAAATACAGATAATAATGTGGTTTGGAGTATTACAGTAATTCTTGAAAATAACTGACAACTCACTTGTGTCAGAATTAAATTCAACTTCACTGGAGTGATGTTAGACCAATGTTAGGCCACCATTAGAAATATAGAAACACTGGAAAGCCGTTTCGTATTAGTATAGAACTCATCAACAGTGTGCATCCACGACCCCCGTGAGCTGGAGTTGAAACTACGACCTTCGGTTTTTGTGCAAGAACGCCTAACCTCTGGACCACTAGGTTGACCTCCAATGGTGCAGATTTCTTCCAATTAAACTCAAAAATCTACACAATCTTACAATCAAATTTACATTGAGCAGTTGAATTACACTGTGTTACTCTAATCGATCAATATTCGGTTCCAGTGAAAGAATAGTAACACTGATTACTTGTTATTTCTTTAATCGAGTAAAGTTTCAAATGATAATAACATTTACCATTCTATTTTTAAAAGTGCATATACGATTTTTGTATGCAACTACACATTGGCTGTTATTAATTATATGTGAGTATAGATGATCTTACACTATAAAGAATATGTTACTAAATCTTAATTTGATCATAAAAATTTCCATTCATTTGATGACTTATTTGAAGACGGAGGACATAAGTGAAATGAGTAATTATGTGAGTTTCGGATAGTGTTGAAAATTTGTAGCTCAGTTGGATGATTGTGTGTGGTGTTTAGTTCTCTGAGCTAGATGTTTTGTTTGTGGAGCTTTCATTGTTCTTATTCTGAACAACATTATCAGCATAAACTTCAAATAGAAGTCTGAAGTTGTTGTTTAGAAGAAGAATGGAAGTTCCATAACCAAAACATCCAGCTCAGAGAACGAAATACCACCACAGTTATGTGATTTAATGAATAGTGAGAATAGTGAGAAAAAGTAATGATTATTACACACAGTTAAACCTTAATGTAAAGCGCAATACTGTGGAAATTTCAAGCAAACATTTGATTACATTGTTTTTGTACTGTTATTATTTAAAGTTTCTTAGCTATAATATACAATCGTTTATTTTTTATACATATTTTTCATTTTTTTTTACCAGGATAACAGAAAAGAAAACTCAATCAATTATTAGTGAAACAAATAATTTATGTCATGATAATGCAAACATCTGGCATCCAGTCGATAATTGTATGATCGAAACTAACAATAATCCTGTTGCATTTACATCATTAGGACATTCCACTTACAAACGACCTAAAATTTGTACTGTTCCTGGTATAAAGAGACGATGTAGTATTGAGGAGACAACATTATCGAGACCGAGTAAATTGTCTTTTCAATTAAATAAATGTAAGTCTACAGATTTTCGTAAATCAGTATGTTGGGGATGTTAGATCCCCAGAACTCGCTTGATAAATATCTTTATTTTGGATTTATTTCATGGACCGATCAGTTGACCTTGAGATCATATTTCCCACCAGGAAAATCCTTGGTTGTGATTGGTTGCTGTGTTATTTTAGTGTGCTATTTTTGTGACTCTCCCAAGGACGTCTCTATGTTGTATAAATAAACGCAATTTGTGTGCTTGGATTCATTGTGTGTGCTAGCTGGGTGTTTGTATAATACAATTTCTACACTATATCAAGATTTCTCGCTGATGCAGTTTGGACAAGGGATCACAGTAGCCGACCTGGACGATGGTTCATTGTTTTGTTCTCATTATTTGACTAAGGTGAACTCGTAATAGTTTAAGCATACCTAGAGACGAGCGTAACACTGTATACATATGAATTTAATAAAATCACTCACTACATTTTGTGATTTTTAAACATTCAATATTTGATTTTTTTCTCATTTTTTTTATAGCTTTACGAACTACAGTAAAACGACGATGTACCAATGAATCATGTTTAATGACAAGATCTAACAATGAAAATAAGTAAGTGATTTCACAAAATGTATGAGAATTTCAAAGCTTAAAATATTTAATATGATTTATATTAAATGACTAATTTATTGGTAATTGAAGTCAATTATTATTACGAATTATTCAAAAAACTGAATTGCCCTTGAGATTTTATTCACCAACTTTCCGTCTAAATAAACAAATGATGTCATATAAATTTTTGATATTATTGATTATTTATTTGATAATGTACAAAGCATCATGAATGAAATATGATGAATTGTTTGGCTGTTCATTAATCGACGAACATTTGATAAAATAATAGTAGTAGGATTATGAAAAGCAGTTATCACTAGTTATACAAGTGAACTGAATTACTCCTTACAGAACTGGTCATTACATAACTATGAGCGATTTAGAGCAGATGGGATCGAGTGAATTCTCTTCAATCAGAAAATAACTGGTAGATGTTTCCTCTGAAATAATATTATGACACACCACACTTGAGTGATGATTATTGAGATTATCCAACAGTTGAAAATGTTTCACTGGTTGAGTGGGCAAGGATACGAAATAGAACATAATGGTAATATAACAATGATAGAATTGAACAAAAAATAGTTCTATGGTGAGTTATTATAAGAAATAATCATGTTCACTGTAACATGGATTGTAGATTCACTGGGTAGTGTAAAGCTGTGTGTTAAAATGTATGAATACATGATTTCATATCAGACTAATATTCTTATCACAACAAGTGGTCGAAGAATGTTTGAGATCGTTGTGAAAAATTACCTCACTTGCAACATCTACTTGTTAGTTAAGTCTGTCTATGATTTCTGCTGAAACTTGTAACTGATTAATTGCAGAATATATTGTTAATTTCAAAAACTTTTTAATCCAACAATGCTCAAGATAATATTCGGTTGTTTCTGATATAAAATAGCCTGATCTTACTCTCTAGACCAAAAACAATTATTCAGATCAGTGATAATCATTAACACAAGAAATAGTGAATAGAATGTGTCAACAGATGTGTACATTTCTTCTTTCAGAACTCAATTTCATATCACACTGATAATATAGATGAACTCACCTGAAATTGTTTAAATCTGTTTTGTTTTCTTTGTCAACTTATTGCTAGACTAATTAATCTGTCATCAAATACAATGGAAACTACAACAGCATCTCTCTGTGATATTCAGCCAAATAGTTCAATTCCCATCATCGAATCCTCTAAATCGTCATCATTTACCTCAGCATCTTTAATCAAACGACGAAGTCTTCCAATGAAAATTAAAGAATGGAGTAAAGTGGCGTCAAAACAATTCTCTCGTCGTTGTAGTGCCGGAAGTGTAAAGTCTGTTCAATCTGCGACTGAACATCTAAACTGTGAAAATCATAGTATACATGAGAAAAATTTAGACTGGAATATAGAACATCAACAAAATTCCAGTAGATTACGAGGAATCAGGAGGTCTGCACAACAAAAATTCAGTAATATTTGTAAAGTATTAAAATATTCAAATCCCAGTATATTAGCACATTCAAACTGTTTATATCAGGATGTCGATCATTCAGATCAATCATTCACATCAAAGTCTTACCATTTTGAACAACATAGTGACCGAGAATTTGATTACGATACATTAAAACATATTTCGTTTTCATCAGAATCCTCACCGAAATTAAGGAGTAAATCGGTTGAAACAAATGATGAAATTATAGTTTCTAATTACAGTTCCAAAAATGCACCAACTCTTCGAAGTGTCATTTTGTTACGACCTGATTTAGACGAGCCATTTGGTCTATTTGTAATTAAGTCAGAACAAGGTAAGACAATGATAATTGAAAATCTCTTTGGATTCTTGACAAAAATCACTGAACTAAATATGTAATTAATAGATAACAGTAATTTTTCAGAGCTTATTATTTTAGATAGAAAAATGGTAGGTGAATGTAATGCATTTGGAAAATGACAAGACCGATTGAATTTAACACTGATGATACTCATCCAAACAATATTAATTGAAGTATTATTAAACATTTTAAACGAGAACATTGTGTAAGATAGATAAACAGAAGATTAGTTATTTAATTTATAGCTGTTCGAATTTCGAATAGTTTCGAATTTTATCGAGTACTAGGTTAGGGTGGTAGGTCAATAGATGAAGCATTGAATTTTCATCAGTTGAGGTGGTTGGGACATGTGTTACGTATGCCTAACCACCGACTGCCGCGATGAGCTATGTTTTGTGGTGTAGGAATAGGTTGGAAGAAAGCTAGGGGCGGCCAGACCAAAACATGGCACAAATCCATGAAGTCACTGGCAACTGGACTGAGTCATGTTGGTAGATGTAGACTACCTGGTTGGGGTCACAAATGGTTAGAGACCTTGAATGACATGACTCAAAATCGTTTGCAGTGACGCAGGTGTATCCACTCTTTGTGTTCTCTCAAATCCTAATCTTCTGGATGGGGCAACACCTCTTTCTTAACTTATCTCACTGAATCATACTTCTTCAATAATATCTTGGAAACCTAATTTTCTCCTTTACCAGTAGTAGTTCTGCTGTCTCTACCGCTATGGGATTTGATTTGACGATTGCGTATCTGTGCTAATGTGGTATGGCAACCTGAACTGATGTACATAGGTACGAAGTTCAACGTTGCAGCTGACTGACGATCAATTGTTTATGAGGCGTGTTAACAAATGCGATTACATCCGGTTTTTAAACACCCGGATTAGGCAAATATTCATTTACATTAATGAAGAATTATATCCTTTGGCCATTTTACTTTTCACGTTCACTTTCAATGATACATGTTGTTGTTGTTATTAGGCAAGTGTTTTTTATCGATCCATAATTATCTTACTTACTTTCACTAATGATTTTTAATCATTTCAGGTTATCGTATCACACGTCTTACGGAAAGATTAAAACAAAACAATCAAATTCACATTGATGATGAAATTGTTCAAGTCAATGGAATCCATTGCAGTCAATTAGATGTGCATGATTTACAAGAATTATTTCGAAACAATCAATCCATTGTTTTAACCATCAATAATCAATAGAACCGTCCGTTGATGTGATATCATGGATTCGATTTCAACGCAAACATGTGCTAGTATCATCCATATTGTACATTAATGCAGTATGTGTAGGTGTAATTTCTTTCCGTGAAAATATATTATCACTGTTCTGCTTCAGGATGTAACAATTGCATTCGCCTAACATGACATCATCAGCTGTTTAATTTCTATCGATCTTCTTTTATTTATTCACGTTTTGATTTTTTTTCTTTTTGCTTTTTTTTGACTTTCTTATATAAAATTGTGTACAGAGAAATAAAAAATAGATTTATTCAAATAAAAAAAATCTGTTTTGAATATTATTTGGGGTTGAAAAAAGCGATTTCAGCATTGTTATTGACGTTGTTGTGTAGTGGAGTTTGCACTGAGAACTAACATTCTTCGTAGGGAATATTGATAGTTTGTTTCAGTTGGTTTTTTACATCGTGACAATGATAGTTTCCTTGGTTTAGAGGTAAACTGAAGTTCAGTGAACATGAATACACAGATATCATACAGATATCTCAGTTTTCATGTTCGTTATCACATGCGTAGTTATTATTTAATATTAAATAATGCATTTTTTAAATACTATTCATCGCCTAAATTCCTGATCTATCATTGTAAACAACAAAGATTTCATTGGATTGATAATTAAAGTTTGTTTCACTTATGTTGTTATCTTACATAAAAATTATGAAAATTACGAGTCTTATATCTGTTATTTAAATCCTTTGTTGTAAGTGATCGATAGGGAAATTCCCTATATCATACAAATTCTGAGGATTATAGATGATAGTTTTAAACTGGAGATGTACTTTTTGAAAAAAAAGAATATTGAACATTGTGTTGATACGTAAAAAGTCAGGAGCATTGAATTTTTATGCTTTTTGAAAAGTAGTGAAATTCGCGAGAATTCAAAGAAGAGATTCTTGTCTTTGACAATATCATTTGCCAGGATTGTACAGTAGGAAATTTAAATTAATACGTCTAATGTACCATGATTTTAGTATGTGAGTGTCGAGCATTAATGAACGGTTAAAGTTACATCAATCTAGCAAGATACTTTCTGGTTGTTGCGTTAGTTATTCAATGAAAGATTTTCTGTAGGAAACAAATACATCGGCTTGTTTTCTGACTCAAAGCAGGCTGAGTTATTTGATATTGTGTCTTAAAGGTACCTTACATAGCATCATTATATTAATCAGGCTTTAAATAAATATGCTAAAACTATTGCTTTAATCATCAAATGAAATTTAGTTTGTTGGAATATTTTTAATGTAATCATTTGAAATTGAGATAATAAATGTTTCTTAGAACAATTCTTTTTTTTGGGACGCTTGTAGTCTTTTTTTAAGTATAATGAATTGGTGGTTTAGTTACAAAGGTTGGAATTATTATGATTTATGAGATTAAAAAGTTTAAGACACATTTGTCGGTGCAAATAACTTTTA